GCTGCTGCTAAGTCGTGTCCAACTCTGTGCGACCCCATAGATGGCAGTCCACCAGGATCCCCCTTCCCTGGGATTCTCCAGGCAAGAACACTTGAGTGGGTTGCCATTTCCTTCTCCAATGCATGAAAGTGAAAAGTGAAAGTGAAGTCGCTCAGTCGTGTCTGACTCTTAGCGACCCCATGGACTGCAGCCCACCAGGCTCCTCCGTCCATGGGATTTTCCAGGCAAGAGTACTGGAGTGGGGTGCCATTGCCTTCTCCGAAAGTATCTATTAAAGCACTGTTAACTATTGTCACCATGCTGTCCTTACACCCTCAGAATGTATTTGTAACTGAAGTGTGTACTCTTTGACACCTTCACTCATTTCCCTCATTCCCCCAGCCCATGGCAATTACCAATCTATGCTCTGTATCTATGAGTTCAGGTTTGTATTTCTGTCGTTGTTGCTTTGCTTTTGTTTTTTTTTTTCTTCTACATGTAAATGAAAGCATACAGTATTTGTCTTTTTCTGCTTACTCCACTTAGTGTAACACCCTCCAGGTTCACCCGAGTTGTAACAAAACAAGAGAATTTCTTTCTTTTTTTAATGGCTGAATAATCATTGTACATGTGTGTACATGTGTGCATGTGTGAATGTGTTCATGTGTGTATAGAGACACTTTTTCTTATCCATTTACCCATCAACAGGTGCTCTTTTTAATCTTTAATTTTTATTTTTTATTCTTTAAAAAATAGAACTACTGCATACGATTCTCACACACACCTTATGAAAATAAATATAAGGTGTTTCAGGTACCCTCTTCTTACCTGTAAGATTTTCAAAGCAATAATCATTAAAGGAAATATAATTAACTGAAACAATTACATTTGTTATATAAACATATATCTCAAGAAAAATATGCTACTGGAGTCTTCTGTATTCATGATGAATAAGCCTTACTTTCACAAACTATGTTTAAGACAGAAAATCCCAGGAAATAGTTAGTAATCCGAGTTAGTGAAATAAAAGCCAGCACTGAAATATCATTTGACTTCAGCCGCACTGCTAAGATTCCCATTAGGTTCTTAAGAGTTTCCATACAAAAGGAGGTCCAGTGCTCCTCTGGAACCTAACACTGACACTATGAGATTGATTCCTAAGAAGACAAATCTAAGTGTACTTCCCAAATGCAACCATTCCAGCCACAAAATCCAAAGAATCATACTTAAGTACTTAGTAAAATATAAATATTGCAACACTCGATGCCATACTGACTAAGGGTGTTAAAGCCAAAATATTATCAGTTACTTCTCTCCAGTGCTTAAAATGAAATTCAATTATTTCTCAAGAGAAAAATTTAGAAACAGAGCTTCATGGACAAAGTTCACTCAAAATGGATAAACTGAAAAATAATAATAATAACTGGACCATTGTGAATTTAGATAATTTCCAATTAGAGCTAAGAAATTATGTAGGTCTAAAAAAATCAATGCAAAGTTGTATTCAAGAGCTCCTGTCTTTATTGCACATTGAGAGAGATTTACATGGTGTCAATATTAAAATACAAAAGGTACACTGTATTTTCTCAGGGCACAGAGAGGTTAGATTAATAGAAAGATGTTTTAAATCAACAGAGAATGATTAATCTAAGTATTTCCTTCTGAAGAGATGCTAAAGGAAAACGACATAATTGATAAGAAGCAGCCTTGGAATCAGGGTGGCTGACCGAGGCCTAGCCCTGGCTCTGCCATGCAAAGGACAATGGTACCGTGAGGTGACAGTACTGCTCCGTGTGAGCATGGGAGCCAAGCAGTAAATGCGGATGCAACAAAGAATTCTTCATGCCTTGGTGAACTGAATTAGAGTAGCTCTAAATTCTAAATCTAGTCTTCCCTGGTGGCTCAGAGGTTAAAGCATCTCCTTGCAGTGCAGGAGACCCAGGTTCAATCCCTGAGTAGGGAAGATTCCTCCGGAGAAGGAAATGGCAACCCACTCCAGTATTCTTGCCTGGAGAATCCCATGGAGGGAGAAGCCTGGTAGGCTACAGTCCCGGCTGCGACGGACCGCGCAGAGGCGCGCCGGCTGCGACGGACCGCGCAGAGGCGCGGCCGTGAGGCGCTACCCCTCGCCCAAAGTCAGGGGTAGCGACCGAGAGCACCAGGCTGCGACAGCGCAGCAGTGGCGCCGAGAGGAGCTTCCCCACCTCCTAGGAGCGGCTGCTGCAGGGACGCAGGAGGGCCAAGAGGAGCTACTCCACGTTCATGGTCAGGAGGGGCGGCTGTGAGAAGATACCCCT